TTTTAAAACTTGGTAAGATGGACAGTTTTTGCAGTGCATCTATAGTTCTCCTTTTATGGTTAGATCAGTAAATTTACATTTGTAAAATCTCTAATTAAAATGAAAATCATCCTGTTGAAGAAAATCACCTGCAAATGGTGAAAATTTGCTGATACTTGGAACGATCGGACACATGAAAATTTGAAACAAAGGCTGTAAAATTTAACCAAACTGAATCAAACTGAACCACACAATGTGCACAACTAAACAAAGAGCTGAAGCTGAGTGGATAGCAGAAGTTTAAAAAAAACACAGAGGATGAGCAGGAAACAGACAGATGTGACACTTTAGGTTCCAAACGACGTTTGAATGGGAAAACAAAAAGTGAACAGTTTCCTACATTTTAAGAAAAAACATTTCTTCCATAGAAAGAGCAGAAACTCAGAGACATGAGCTGATAATTTACATTCAATAAAACCCCTAAGCACATAAAAAAAACAGTATTTAATGGATTTTACTTTTAAACTACTTGAAAATGAAACAACCGTCATATGAAAATCAAAATGTCTCCAGGCGTGGTTTGGACATTCGTAAGCCAAGTTATTGGTTAGCGCATCCAATCATTCCTTCACTTGTGTCGTCACATGCAAATGAAGCAGGTGRTGTGAGCTGTAGGATATATAAACAGGGATCAGTCTGGTTTCCAACATCTTGCTGTTCTCTCAGCTTACCACAGCATCTCTGCTATCGCTCCTAAACCCACCAACACCACCAGAATGGCCTTCACTGGAAGATGGGAAACCGAGACCCAGGAGGGATACGATGAGTTCTGTCAGCTGATCGGTGAGAAAAGATGAGTGATTTCAAAAACTCACCCAATTTTTGGGGGGAGATGTTCGGGGTTTTACAATCTGTCCTGCTTTAGGAATCCCTGATGACATCATCGAGAAGGGCCGTGACTACAAGATCCTCACAGATATCATCCAGAATGGGGATGACTTTGCCTGGACACAAACCTACCCCCAAAATACCAAGATCACATWCAACTTCACCATCGGCCAAGAGTGTAGCATGCAGACCATTGGAGGAAAGAGATTTAAGGTAGGACATAACCATCAAGGTTTAACTGGTCACTTTGTTATAGCATTTCTTCTCTGACTGTTGAAATGATTCATCTGATCACAGGCTACAGTTAACATGGASGAAGACAAGCTGAATGTAAACTTGCCCAACTTCAGCCAAATCACCGAGCTCAGTGGGGACAAACTCATCGAGGTAAATACTCTCCTTCAGAGACAGTTGTGTAACAACATCATTTATTACACTCTAACCGATGGAGGTTTATCTGAATATATTCATTGAGCCCCCCCCCCCCCCTTTTTGTGTTCCTCTGTTAGACATTAACAGCTGGATCCAAAGTGCTGACGAGAACCAGCAGGAAGATCTAACCAAGTCCATGAGACCAGCGGGACACAAGCTCCTCAAGGTAAACACACTGTCAGTGTGATGAAAAAGTTGTGCGACAGCAGTTATTACACCCAGGCCCCCCCCCCCCCCCCCCCCCCCCCCCCCCCCCCCGCAGGGATCATTAAAATCATCAGTGTTACATACTGCAGGGGATTAGCTGAGCTCATGGTAACACCGACGAATGAATCGTACAGAAGGCAGTTAACTGTAACACCTGAGCCGAAGTGACTCACACGTCCATTGAGACCGTTACTTCATTTTGTTTTTGTCATTTTCCAAATCCTTTCAAAGTTCTTTTTATGTTATAGATTTTTTTATAGATCTTAAAGCCTGAAATTGGAAAAGTTTCACCACCTTAGTAACCTAATTCAGAAGTTAAATGGGGTTAAAGGCTCAAAGTTGAATAAATGCAAGATTTTGTGAACATGTATGCAGTTATTGTAAAAATATTAACGATAATGATATTTGACTTATTTTTAAGAGGGTTTTAAGGAAGACGTTTGATATTAAAGTAAGAAAAGTCTAATTATATTTCTTGCTTTTTCTCTCCCTCTTGTAGACCTCGACATATGGCTCTGTAGGGCTGAGGAGAGCCAGCAGAAACTGCTGTTTGACTTTTGACTTTTGGCTTAATTCAACAGAAATCTATCAACTGTAGCAAAATCATTTAATAAAGTTAGTTATGCAAGCATAAACCTGTGTTTTGTTTAATATTTCCAGATGATGGTCGAGATTACTCAGTGTAAAAAACAAAAAGCTCTTTCTTTGGAAATATATGTTTACAATTTAATTCAATTCAATTCAGTTTATTTATGTAACACCAAGTCACAACATACTGGGCACTGTACATAAAAAAGAACAATCTAAAGAAGAAACCAGCAGATTGTGTTGAATCACTTCATCACAGTCTCCCATCCTGAGCAAATGGTGGAGAGGAAAAACTCCCTGCTAATCAGGAAGAAACCTCCAGCAGAACCAGGCTCAGGACAGGCGGCCACCTGCCTTGACTTTACAAGGGAAAAGGGTTCACTATCAATATTTGTTTTAAATGTTGTTTTATGTATTTGTGCATAAAAAATAGTTTTCTACCATGCTCTAAAATTATTCAAATCTGAGGCAACATCACAATATTTAAGAAGCCAAACCATGATTCAACCGCTTGTAGAACCACCTAGTAAGAGAAATGTATTCATTTAATTTATAAAAATTATATACACAACAAAGAACAAAAAACATGCAATCAAAATTAAATCAAATAAAACGAAAGGCAGCAGAAGAAGAATAAATCGTATATCTGCCCCTTTTTATCCCCAGAATATGTTTGAAATGAAAGTGAATTACAACAAAAATCAAGACAACTGAACACACACACACACACACACACACACACACACACACACAC